ACATTATTATATTGATTAGTATAAATATGAAGATGCAGTTTTTAATGAAATTGTGTGTGCAGGAGTGTGTGTATTTTGTCAGAGAAATAGAGAGGCAGAAGTGTATTTATATGGGCCTCTGGTTCCTCTCGGTCTGGTGTTTGTGTTGATGGATTGGGTGTTTTTGGTCAGGTAGGCATTCGGGCTGCTCTCAGCAGGATCACAATGTGTGCTGCATTGCAGTGAAAAGCAAAGAGCAGACATTAGGACTCAGTGTTTGTGCGTGTGTGAGAGTGTGTCATGATCCCTTGACAATAATACATCTTAATCAGAGCACACAGAGCTGCTCTTTGGCCCTTACCTTCTGCCTGATATACTTCCCTACTTACCATGGCGGAGCAGGACACACATAATTCTTTTTATAGTATTTACACTAGCATCCTTAAAGGGATAGTTCACACAAAAATGAAAATGTACTCACTGTTTACTCACTCTCAAGTGGTTCAAAACCTTTAGAAGTTTCAATATTTTGTTAAACACAAACAAAGATATTTTAAAGAAAGCAGAAAACCTGTAACCATTGACTTGCATAGAAAAACAAATATTATGGATGTCATTGATTACAGGTTTCCAGCTTTCTTCAAGATGTCATCGTTTGTGTTGAACAGAAGAAGAAAAAATGTTTGGAACAAGTGGAGGGTGATTAAATGATGACAGAATGTTTAGTTTTGGGTGAACTCATCTATTTTGATGTACAGTACAGGTAAAGACTAACTAAAAAACACATTTAAATAAGGTTTATTTACAAACAACAAACATCAACAACCATCAACAACAACAAAAAATGTTAAATACTGTACTTACCTCATAATTTTTGTTAAAGAGGCACATTAATCAAGACAAGATAATCAATATTCATAATAATCATAATTTACTCAAAAGCAAAATTTTGGAACCCGGAAGGCATTGACTTTTATAGTAATTTTGTTTCTTTTTTTGTTTTTTTAGATTATTATTTAGAGTATTATTTTTTTCCTTTTTTGTTTTGTAAAACCAGTTGACAACATTCTTCAAAATATCTTATTTTTTTGTTCAATAGGCTGAAAAAACTTCACTTACTCAAAATGTAAATGGAGAGTACTCTTTCATGTTTGGGTAAACCACCCCTTTAAAAATATACTTCAGAATATTTCTTTTTTTTTTTACAGAGGTAAGTAAAACTGACTTAGAAAGACATGAGGGTAAGTGATGACAAAATATTTTCCCCCTCCAAGTTATATTTATAATATAATTAACAAACAAATTAAAATGAGAGTTATTCGCAAATAACACTATCCCTTTTTAATGCACTCTAAGCTTTTCACTCATCGTAGCACACGTGCTGCTGATGATGTGACAATAAAAGTGATTTGAATATATTCGTATGTGTTTCACAGGTAAGTTAAACCGATTTAGAAATTAGTAAATGATGACAAAATCTTTTTCTCCTCAAAGTTATATCCAAATCAAATTAACATGAACCCATCGTGTTCTGGTCAAATCTGACTGATTTACAAGTTAAAACTCTTAAATATTGTGTTTTACATCTGATTGCCTCGAGGCGGTATCCTTCACACTATACATTTGAACATATAACGTTATGATCATCTTTTTCATTGAATTTTGAGTGTTTTTGTCAACCTCGTTACACTTGTGGTGTTCCTAGTCAAACATGACTGTCAAAGGAAATAAATGATTATCCAGACTATATTCATCAATCAGACAGAAAACATCCCCATATACTGTACACCATCCCAACTCCCTCACTCCCTCACTCACTCACTCACTATTTATATTTTCACAGCATTTATTTTTCTATCTATTCATGTTAAACTACTGTTCACAGTTAAAGAATGTTGAATAAATATTTGGTGTTGAAAAATGTGTTTTGTACCAATTTAGATTTAATTAAAAGCAGGTTAAAACAGACAGGTCAATTTTGACTAGGAACAATATAGTAAGGGGCGGGAGGTGAACACGACATGAGGGTTAAGAATACTTATGTTTTCCGACTGCAAACTGCATACAGCAATATGAATAAAAAGTCAAAATAAGAAGATTTTTTTTTTACATAAAGGAGACTTTATTGTTTTTTACATACAACTCTTAGAATAATATTTATAGCTTCAATAATACCAGTACGTCAAAAATAATAATCATAGTTATCATATATAAAAAACTAAGCCTTAAACTACTCTTTACTTTTTAAAAACATAAAAGTTTCATATATTAATATCTGTTCTGTTTCATAATATTCAACAAAAATAAAGTCAAATAAAAATCACAGGTTAATCATAATGAGCTTATCAAGTAGCTTTTGCTGTTTTTAATACTGAAGGTTACATTTAGTGAGGGAACAAAGGAAAATGATGAAGTCCTTTCAAATGAAACGCAGCAATACAGGTGTATGTGGTTTGTACTTTTTAGTGTAATACCTGGTCAGAAGAGAGGCATGATGGTCTATGTAGTCCAGTGGGATGACAAGTCTCTCAGAAATGGTCCAAAAACAAAATGTAGTCAAGTCTTGCTCATTCTACTGAGATCAAGCAAGCCATAGGGCCACCATTCCTTTGGAATCCACAGACAAACAGAGAGAAAAAAAAATCCCATTTTATTGGTGAACCATAAAATGGGTTTGGCAATTTCACAAAGCATTGAAATGGTCAAGATATGTGAAGCTTTGCGATCATGAGAACTCGACACAATGAAAAGTCTAAAGCGTCCGACTACACAAGTCTCAATGCAGCAGCAGTTTCTATGTGCTTCTTTCACATCACGCAACACTGCATCTACTAAAAGATCAGCAATGTTATATTGAGAGACAGGAGGGACGATTTAAGACACCACCTGCTTTGACTTGACTTTAGCGACTATAGATAGTTAACTGTTTAACTACCGTACTTTACACATAGTCAACATAGTAAATAAACTCTTCACATAGGTCTTAATAAAAGCCAGGCAGTGATCAATATGACAATGTCAATATCATTCAAATTTTGGCTAAAATTTGAAACTTGTGAGCCACTGATGCACAGTACTGCTCTTGATCTTAAGACGGCTTAAGAAATGCCCTTGTTGTTGGGAGGCATAAGACTAGATTGGTAATAGATGTCTGGCTATGTGTGCAAACTTTTGGCACACTGCAATCATTTATTTTGTTGATCTCTGTTTTTGTCAGTTTGCTCTTTAGTAAAAAAAATATTGAAACATCCTTAAAGGTTAACTGTTTATAGGAATTGTTCTGGCAAAATTTTTAATTAGTTCACCATTTGTCATCAAATTGTTAAAATTGAAGATATTTTAAAGAATACTTGTAAGCAGAGAGTTGAGAGTACTTCCATATACTATGGAAGTATTTTTATGCACATTTTTGAATATTGAGAAAAAAACGGTTAATGGAAAAGTTAAGAATAAAAAAATTAGTAGGGTAACCTTTTAAATCCAATAAGAAAAAATGTGCACAAACTACAATGGAAACATATTTACTGAATAAATTTTATGTGATTTTGTTTTGACAGACCATATGATAACAAAAAGAGCTTTTTCTGTCTGTAATGGGATGGCATTAATGGACAAACCAGCGGACTGACGACCTTAAACAACTTCTGAAATGTTGTTTTGGTCATTTTAAAATGCTAAAGAGGTTCAGTATTATGAACCATGACGAGCCAGATCTTCATCTTCTAAGGTGCAACTAATTTTTTTACATAAGCAAAAAAAAGTCCACAGTACACTGTGAAAAGTATGTGATCAATTAGCCATATGTTTTTTGTTAATTGTCAAGTTAATCATGATCTAACTTAATTGTATAAGTTACGCAAAATGTTTTGTCAGTTAATATTGTAAACATATTATTACATTGGAAATATATTATTAATTCCAATGACTCACAAGGTTCATTTGATTCAGCTTAAAAATTTAGAGCAACCAGTATTTTGTTTACATCGTAGCTTCCCCTACTGTAGCAAATTCCATTTTTCTTTTTTATTATTTGATAAATATTGTGATATTTACCAGGATGTGATTATCTGTGGGGTGGGGGTGGCTCCTTTAATAGAAACAATGGTTTATTTTTATTTTTTTATTATTAAATAAAAAATAAATATAACTTGATTCAATAAGGAAATATAACCATTTTACATATTGTCAGAAAAGTGGCTAATTTTATTGATTTGATAGAATTTCATTTTTTTTAAACTTACATTTTATTGGGAGATCTACTAAAAACTACAAAAGGGATCAACCAATAAATACGAATTAGCCAATAATCAAAAAGTTACAAATTGCACTGAAATTGTGTGGGATATTCCTATTTTCCACATACATTTTTCCCCTCTTTAGATTCAAACATATAATTTGCTTACAAAAATTCTCCAGAATATCTTATTTTGTTTAAGTAAAGAAAGAAACACAGCTTTGGAACAAATAAATGATGAATGAATGGTGAGTGTTCCTTTTTAGGTGTAAAATCGCTTAATATTGTCTTATACCTTACAATGGTGTTTATTGTAATCTAATTTGTTGTTCAATTTTAACATCTTTATTAAATTTTGTAAATCTAGTAAATTGAGATGTTTCAGGTAGTCTATGTTAGTGTTTCTCAACCACGTTCCTGGAGGACCACCAACACTTCATGTTTCGGAGTTCTCCTTTGTCTGTTACACCCATTACAGGTCTTTCAGTCACTGCTAATGAGCTGATGATCTGAATGAGGTGTGAATGGTTAAGGAGTAATGGAAAATTTGCAGAGCTGGTGGTCCTCCAGGAACGTGGTTGAGAAACACTGGTCCATGTAATTGTATGTTTGTATATTTTAAGGATATTTAGGTTTGTTTTTTTATTTTTTTATTTTACCAGAAAACAGTAAAAAATTATTACGATTTTTTTTGCAGTGCGGACTGATTGTACAGTATATGTTTTGTGGCAACTGTAAACAAAATGGGTGTCAGCCTCTCAGTCCTGTTTCAACCTTTTTTTTTTTTCGTCTGCTTTCATTCAAAGGAGGTAGGTCTATTTTGTTGGCAAAAGAGAGATGTTTTAATCTCCCATGTGAGAAATCCTTTTGGCAATCATGTTCCAGCTTTTGAAATCAGAAGGAATTCCTCCCCCAGGCCTGGGTTTGTGCAGGGCTGTAAGTTGTTTTAGGAGACCAGCAGGAACCAGCATGTTGATGGAGGGCGACGAGAGACACTGGCTGCTGCTAGAAGTTCTTGTCTTTCAATCACACTTTTCCATCTTCGCCCTTCATTTCTGTCAGTGCAAGTCATATTAAAGCAACAGGGATCCTCTTTCAGGGCCACAGTCCCACCGCTGGATCCGGTCAAGGCATTGGTCAGGAGGTATCAAAACTGTACAGGAAAAATAAGCAGTGGATTAGAGTGAAATACAATGTTTTCTATATGTTCACATATTTGTATCGAAGATTCTTTCACTGTACTACAGATTTATTTATGGAAGTATTCAAGCTGGGGCCCAAAAGTGAGAGCTAGGGAGCCTGTTGAAAATATTTGAAGAAAGTTTAAAAAACTGTAGAATTTACAGTATGTAAGAAGAAAATAAATTTGTTTAAAGGTACTTACTAGTCTAAAAAATTCATTTAAATAAACTAATATTAAACCAAAACACATTACAATAAAATTTAGTAGAAAATAATTAAAATAATAAATTAATTTGTACAAAAAATTCAAATGAAGTAATTATCCAAAAACATCAAATACATATAAAAATAATGACACATTTAAAAACCTAATGTAAATAGATTTAAATTATAAGTACAATTTGATTAAATAATAATAATAATAATAATAGGCAATTTTAAATACATTTTGCTGACTAAAATAGTTTATATATTTTTACTTTTACAGTATAAGTCGGTTTTTAAAAAAGTAACTAAAAGATGTTTTGTTAGATTAATTAATTGGATGTGTTAAACAGAGACAGTAAAGTATTTTGGATTTTGGTGTGCAAATTGGATAATCTTTTTATATATTTTGTAAAAAAAAATTACTTGTGAATTTTATTTATAAGCTAATTTCGAGAGGATCACATGCTTATGATTGCTTGTGGCTGGTCCCACATTATCAAATTTATGATTCACCAATCAGACGATTCCTAAGCCACTATAAATACCCTAAGTTCCATGTAACAGCCTTCTTCGTTTTGAAGCATCCCTCCTTCCACCCCTACTCCTCCTCCTTTCCTAGATGGGTGGCATGGTGGCCCAGTAGTTAGCACTGTTGCCTTACAGCAAGAACTTGTTCCAGTCCTTACCAAGCCAGCTGACGTTTCTGTGTGGTGTTTACACGTTCTCCCCGTGTTCACGTGGGTTTCCCCCAGGTTTCCTGGTTTCCTCCCACCGTCCAAAAACATGCAACTTAAGTTAATTGACTAATCCAAATCGGCACCAGACATGCTCCTAGTAAGTAGTTATTTCTTAAGAGCAATCACTATCTGTTAATTAACTACTACAGCAGGAGAGTTCTCAAGATCTACCTGAGCTCAAACTCCCCTCTCGGCTTGCAAATGGGAGGGAGCCCTGGGCTCGAGGATCTTATGAGCTCAGGGCTCTCTCCTGGGACAGCATACCAAACAAGCTTTATATTCAATCATCAGCTAAGTGTGAACTCTTGAAAACAGATTAAATAATACATTTGCATCAACGCATGAATACAACAACATTTTTAATGATATTGATCAAAGTCAAGATTTTTTTTTTATTTCAAATTTCTTTCATTTGAAACCATATAAGAGTATTTTCTGTACATTGTGAATACCTTTACTGTAACTTGAGATTACTCTAATCACCACTTTAATTTGTCCTTGCCAAATAAATAAACCAAATTTGCCACAAAAAAAGCATGTGAATCCTATTTTGAGTTGATTCATGCATAAATAACATGCATGCTGTACACTAAAGAAGTGCGGTTTACCTGTCCCAAAGCTTGACACTTCTACAGGCGCTGGTGCAACAGCCAGCAGATATCAGAGCTGCAGAGGAAAACAACACATTAGGCACGTTTTTAGGTGATCCATTTAATATTGATCTTTAAATATGCTATTATCAAAATAACAGCTCATTTAATAACAGCACACAAATACATGTCTTTCCAGGCTACACTGAGTTCCTCAAAAAAAGTGGGCTGACTCACTGATTTAGAGATCATTGTAATTATGCACTTGTTTGTAGACTGGCTAATTTACCCCAAGCACCGTTTAACTCAGCCTTTTTGTGTAAATGGCAAGAAGAAACAACCTATAATTTTCTGCAACATATTGTCTTTACACTTGTTCTGTTTGATTAAATGGGCAGCACCCAGATATTTTTTTGTAAAAGGCAAAAAATCAATTATTTAAATATAGCAAAATATTGCAGTTCTGAATAATAAGCAAGGCTGATTATAACAATGACGATGGGTATAAACAAATCATTCTTTTGAGTCAGATCCTTTGACAAACCATTTGAACTATTTAAAAAATAACAGTTGTTCATGGTTTCTAAATGATTCAGGCTGAAACATATATTCACCATTTTGCTCATATATGGTGTAGTGAGCCACAATGTGACAAAGACAGCACACCACACGCCAACAGATTTTCAGTCAGAGTGTGGATGAAAACACCCCAGCGATTACCATGATGTAAAAACAATATTAAAAAAACTAATCAAAAATGCTATTAGATTTAATATTAGTTACCTTGAAGTACAGCAATAAGTAACTTCAAAATCATGTAAGATATTTTAGATTTTTTTAACGTGTTTTTTGACGGTTAAATTACCGTTACTGTTAATTATGTCATTTGAAATTTAAGCTTTCAGATGAATAACACTTATATTAATTTTGTTTCATTATTTTGGTGGTCAAAAGGGCATCAGTGTGTGGATGTCAAATAGACGTCAAGGTTTTGACATCATACACATCTGCATTTTTGATGTATTTTTTATTTTTTTATCACAACCATCAAGTGAAATTCATGTGTTTGAATGCTCGCATAACTGAGATGATAATAAACATGGTGGATGATTAAAGAAATGAGAAAAAATGAATGAACATACATTTGTGCTGTTGCTACATCTCTGCTATTTAAATCTATTTTTCTGCGCTTCACCATAACTGTGTTTGTTATGCTTCTGTCATCTGTCTTGCTTTCTGATTGTATATTGTTTAGTTTCACTTGATAATTTTTACATTGTATGTACATTTGTTCTCAATATTTACAGTTCATGATCAGAGAGTGCCTTCGATATTCTTTTAACAGATTTCATGGCGTACACGCACGCACACACACACACACACACACACATATATATATATATATATATATATATATATATATATATATATATATATATATATATATATATATATATATATATATATGAAAAGGATCGCACAAAGGTAAATTTATTCCCTTTAAAATTTGCTCAGAGGAAAGTATAGTATCTCTAAAGAAAGGAAGTGAAGAAGAATTTATATACAAACATGCCTTAATGCCTCTGAAGGTAACATTTTAGAGCTTTCGGACACAGCCTTTTTTAGCTTTTATTATTAAGAACAGCAACACGGGTTAGTGGGAACTGAACAACACTATAACACCACAAGACTAATCCTGAATTACTAGCATTGACATTGAATTATTGAATGCTTTGATGCTCCTATAGTTTCATTCGATCAGTTGGCCAAGGATGTTTGTTTGTTGCCTAGAGATATTGATTTAGTATTGATGCTGCGGTTCCAGGAACAGGTATTCTACCAAAGCCAAAGTTTACTATCAATTCACCCACTTGTTCAAATAGTCAACGTGGATTAAAAAAAGCAGATTAATGCAAACAACTAAAAATATAGCCACATTAATGTATTAATGTATGTACTAACTTTCTTTAAAAAATAAATCTGAAAATATATGCATTTCAATAAAGACTGTTTACAGTAATTATTTACCATGTTCTGAATAGGACATGAGTTCCTTGTGAAAATATCCCTTTAATGCTCTTCCTTTATTTTATACAGTGCTCGGCAGAAATAAGTACACCCCATTTTGAAAATGAATATTTTTATCCATTTGTCAGTGAACATAAAATAATATATTGGGTGCATTTGGACAAAACAGATAAATATAATTTAAACGGATATTTATTAATTGACTAATATTTCAGTCACCTAAGATCTTAAGAAATAGGAAGATAATAAATTTAAATCAGTGTGAAGTGTTGCAAAAAAAAAAAACTTGAGTATGATTGAAAAAAATTAAGCATGACTCGAGTATAACTCAGGATTGAGGTTAACAAAAATCATTGCTTACACGTTTTCAATCATGTTAACTCACTAATATTGATGTCCATGAAAATGTTTTGATTGAATGCTTTAGCAGTCCTTGTTATCTTCAATCAGCTGACCAAGGCTGTTTGTTTTTTGTCTAAGATATTGATTTAGTATTGATGCAGAGGTTACAGAATAATCAACCCTCTAGTTTAAATAGTCACTTTGGATTACATAAATAGCTGAATGCAAAAAATTTAATGCATTGCTGTAACAATATATGTAGTTGAGAAAGTGATTAGTCAACTATTTTTCAGAAATAAATGAGGATGTGAAATATACATGTCATTGTCTTGTTATTATTCTTCTGTTTACAAGCAGACCTTCACTGACCAATCTTAAAAAGCAAGGGGTAGAGAAAGGCATGAGAGAGATAGAGAGAAAAACCTGCTGTAATGTGTGTTACGTACAGTGTGATTGCAGCAGCGGGAGGTGTGACCCTGAGTGTCTGATGAAAAGTACCTTCTGTCTAAGTCAAGTGTCACTTCTGCAGCGACACTCTCTGTCCCTCATGTGCTCGCTCACACACACAAGTGCGCTCTCACACAGAAACACACAACTTACACACAAAGCCTCAAGGTACATTAAAGTATCCTTATTCAGATACAGACTTCATGCATTAAAATAGGTTGAGCTTCTTCAGAGCCAAACCAAAAAGCAATTTGTTTCTCTATTGATTATCCTTGCTGAAGGCTTATTACAGTAATATGTCACTATAAAGCCCAGGAAACATGCGTCCCATGAGATATCATCTGCAACAGAGTCACATTCATCCATCCATCCATCTATCTACAGCACTAGGTAGATTACCTAGAAGTTGTAGTCTGCTACAGATTACAGACCCCTCGAATCATTTAAAAATTCTAGCTAGTAATGTAATCTAGGTTTATCATTTTTATACATTGTAAAAAATAAAAACAGTTTCCATATTTTGTGATTCACAGGTTATTATGGTTATTTACATTTGTGAATTGCATTATTGGACCTTAATCTCTGCTACATTAACTTTTAATGTTAAAATTCAACTCTAAAGTTTAACAAAGTGACTGCTTTTGAAATTTTAGTAGTTTAAATTAATATAATTAATAAGATGTAATATATAGAAAAATAGACGACACACTGGCGCAGTAGATAGTTCTCAGCAAGAAGGTCGCTGGTTCGAGCCTCGGCTGGGTCAGTTGGCGTTTCTGTGTGGAGTTTGCATGTTCTCCCCACATTCGCAAGGGTTCCTCCGTGTGCTCCGCTTTCCCCTACACAGTCCAAAGACATGCGGTACAGGTGAATTGGGTAGGCTTAATTGTCAATAGTGTATGAATGTGAATGAGTGTGTATGGATGTTGCCCAGAGATGGGTTGCAGCTGGAAGTTTATTACAAGGTTTTTGTACCGTAAAATAAAAAACCAACCCAGACAATATATCACTTTAAACTATTAAAAATGTTAATAAAAGTCACTTTTTCAAACTTTTTAAGGTTAATTGATGTTGAAAGAAAGATCAAGGTGTCATGATGCAGTTCAAAAGCACAAATAAATGGGAAAAAATAAAAAGATAATAAAAAAATACTGAAAACTGCTAATTTACGGATATATATATTTTTTACAGTGAATGTGCTCTCTCTTTTAGATTACTCCCAATTCATACCATATTAAAATAAAAAGCATATATATGTATTTATAGATATTTTATTATATTTTGTTTACTAGCATGTTATTGTGAACATTAAGCAAAATCAGAGCACTGTAATTTTTTCCCCCCTTTTTATATTGACTATTATATTTAGAATGGTAGATTGAATTTAGATTGTTTGACAATTGGGATATATTTAGGAATGACTGGGAATAGCTGCACCATTTGAACATACATTAACAAAGTTACAAACAATATGTTTTGTTGTTGTTGTTGTTGCAGAAAATTCAAAAATAAAGAATAATTAAATGGTTATTAGTGTAAATATACAGTTTAACTATGTAGCTTAACCATTATTTTCAATCAGTGTTTAACTAAAATTTAGGTCATACAGTAGCATTTTTTGAGTGTTTATGAAAACATTGTTCTTTCATTATTTTGTTCTCCGAGCTATATGTGCTGTATACTCACTTTAAAATGGTGTATATCATTTCCTCTTTTTTTTCTTTTTTTTTTCTTTTTTGCTAGGAAGCCATAACCATAACTATAAACATAAAATCTTTCCAAGCTAGCAGTAAAAAAATCAATAAGCATAATCAAACAAGAAGCAACCAGTGGCTCAAAAATCCAGCTTTCAGTTCAATTTAATATTATAGACCTTTAATGTGATCATCTAGAACATGGAGGACTGAAATAAGTATGTATTTAGGAATAAACTGAGAACATAGATTGTTTTACAGCAGAAAGATGACTTTATGTGCAAAAATTATGTTTAAACATAGTACTGCTACTCAAAACCTTTACGTGATGAAAACACCTCATCTATTTAAAGCCTATAATAGTTTTGCAGAGCTCCATCAGTGTAAAGTAATAACATTATAATGGTGCGAAAGGGAGTAGAACAGCAGTGCAGGAGATGAATGAAGGTGCTTACACCTCTGACCCGCTTCTGTACATGTTGCATTTGTCAATATCTTTAATAAACACCCCTGAGTTCAAACTGTCTCTGCCTTTACTTGGCGCAAATGTTATTTGTCAATATAA